ATTTACATACAGTAAAGTACACTATTATTTTGAGTCAATTGAAATATTTTTACAGAATATTTTTGTCATTTTCGCCTAAATTTACAGTACATTCAAAAAGCATTTCAGTTAGTAATTCAGTATAAGTGAAGCATTTTATTAATAAGCGGTTATATTACAAAAGTTTACTAAATACCGGTTATTTCATTTTTATACTGGTGATATCATATGTGAAAATTAGAAAAATATGTTAGAAATATATATATTTTAATTATTAAAACAGCGTTTACTAATTGTATTTTTAAATATAATCTAGTTAAAAACAAGTCTTTATAAGCTTACTACTTATCATTAACGCAAACACTAATTTAAAAACTACAGTATTTAATGTAGTAACATAGTAACTACAGTACTTAGTTTTAAACATGATTATTATTTTATATTCTGGGAATATTATTAATGTATAACTTAATTTTAAAATATTTTAAGCAATGAAATATAAACTTAATATTTAGTCATATTATTCTAAATTTAAGATATAAAAATTAATATTTTAAAATTAAATTAACAATATTTAACGAATGATAATTTACTTACAAATTAGTAAAATTATTATAAAAATATATAATCTTAATAAAATATTAAATATTTACATTATAAGCTATTCTATAAGGCGCATGGTTACTAAATTTAAATAACATGCAAATTAAGCTATATATATTATAAAAACAACTGTTATTATTTAGATACAATACAGGTATAACTTTGATACATAAATATTTAACTAGATGCTAAATATGAATTAATTTAGAAAAAGTACAACGGATACTCAAATGGGTTTATGTAATAAAATATTAATATTTAAAATCAATTAAAGTAATTTACTGCATAGCTTAGATATAGTGGTATTTAGAGATAATTACATTATAAATATAGGAATGACTATTTTTGTGAACATATAAATTAAAAATACTTGTGGTTCATTGAAATTGTTTATAAATAAATTATTTTAATAAATTACATTTAAATAAATATTAAAACTCAAATAAATTTGAATGAATATCATATTTGAATTTGGTACTGTATACTGTATTTAGATTGCATTACAGTACTGTAGCTATTATACAATAAATTGTATTGGTAATAATCATATTTGATACAATTCTGTGATTTATTAATTGAAATATAAATGAATTTCTTAGGGATTACAGAGCTATGAGTACAAGCAGTGCATCTGCGAGACCGTCGCTGTCGCAGATCCAGATCCCGTCAGCTCTGGCGTCGACGAGTATAGTGTCGGCCAGACCTGCCGACGGACACAAACTAAAAGTGAAGTGCGCTTCTCGACAATCCCTCATCGACACAGTGACCGGCAAATTCCAACCCCCGTCCGGAGGGGTCAGTAGTTTGGCCGGAGTCGGAGCTTATATGGGGAATGGGAGGGGAAGTGATGCCAAAACTAAACCCCGCGGATCAATGGCTGGTAAGGCATATTTTTAGTATTCAAAATTCATTAGTGTACCTTAAATGGTAAATTTCACACTATATTGCATTTATTATTATTTGAGTGAGAAATTGTAACAATTGTAGTAATCACTAATAAGACAAACTTATTTTGTTAGATTTATATCATTATTATATTTATTATATATTTATATGATATATTACTTACTCGTTAGTTATATAGATTCTTTAGCTTATAAATAAAAAATTGTGTTAAGATTTGGTTTAATGGAAAGTAAATAAAAAGGATATGAGTGTCAATGATTAGTGATCGCTGTTTTACTTATCCCATCAATCATTTAAATCGTTTGACATTTTGCAAGTTTTGACACGATTTACAATACTTTATATACTATAGTTTAGTACCCCACTAAATAAAATTCTTATATTATTGATTAAATGTTTACTATAAAATGTAGTATACAGCCAAAACTGCAGCCAACTATTATGAAATACTTTTAAAAAAATAAAATTTCCTTCACCAGTACTGCTGTTATATTGAAAAGTAGTGAATGTACCAATGTACTGCATAAATATTCATTTACTAGAAATGTTTTCGAATTTGTTTTAATACGAGTCTATTTAATCTTGATAACCATATTATATAATATTATTCCTTAGTATATGTCTGGGCAATATATTTAAACCCAATATGATTAGAAAACTAATATTTGATTATGAATGAAATTAATATAACTTGTATCATACTGTATGATTCATACAAGTTTAATTATTATAATACGCTATTTGAGATAAATACAAAAATGGACTATATTTGCACTTTAGCCGTTCTATTAGTACGGGTGTATAACCTGGGATATATCGTTAAAATAATTTTCTTATTAGACATTTGCTTTTAATTATTTGAGTGGAGGATAAAAGGATAAAATAAAAGATTTTGACAAAAGATATATTAACGGATCGGTTCACTGAGTCTATTGTTTGACAGAATCTATAAAATAACAAATACCCAGAATATTGATGATTGACTGGAGTTTGTGTTTAATTAAAGGACTGATAAACAGAAGTCATTTGAGTTCAGATCTGGAGATCCCGAAGAAGACACGAGAGTTGAGGCGAAAGGAGATAAAGAAGGAGTTCGAGAGGTGGGAGACGTCGACGGCGGCGAGTGATAGGGGCGGCTGCAACTGGTCGTTCGTGTTTGACCCGTCGGGCCGGTTGTGTTACTACTGGTCAATGGTTGTGAGTGTGGCATTTCTCTACAATTTCTGGACCATAATATACCGGTGCGCTTTCCAAGAAATCAGTGAAGAGACTGTGGGCACATGGTTTACATTAGACTACTTATCGGATTTTATTTATATACTCGACATTGCGGTTCACTTCCGCACCGGTTATCTCGAAGAGGGTGTCCTCCAGACCGATGGCATTAAGCTTCGGCAGCATTACATGAATTGCACGATGTTTTACATCGACTGTCTGTGTCTTCTACCCCTAGACTTCCTCTACTTATCCATTGGATTCAAATCAATGTTACGGTGTTTTCGTTTAGTGAAAATTTATAGGTTTTGGGCTTTTCTCGACCGCACAGAAAGACACACAAACTATCCAAACGTTTTCAGAACTGTTTCATTAGTTCATTATATATTAGTTATATTTCATTGGAACGCCTGTATGTGTCAGATCATACATCTTAACAACGGCTTTGGGTCTAAGGACTGGTTCATTGGGTCCAAAACAGACAACTATTGTCCTGGCGTTCAATGCGATTATTTACAGTGAGTTTGAGCTCTCATTGCATCCAATTCTCTATTTTCCAAAACCACTCAATACTTCATTATTATTCCCATTATTAGTGCAATGTATTGGTCTGTACTCGCGCTCACAACTATAGGTCTGTTAGCGCCGAAACACATCTAATTTCATATCATTTAAACCAATGTTTCATTTGTTTGTCACACATGACTACCTGATGATTGATTGAATGGCCCTTCAGGTGATCTGCCGACGCCTCGCACTAAAAGCGAATATTCATTTCTAGTGATGGAAATTGTTTTCGGACTTTTCCTATTTGCCAGTTTGTCTCACTTTACCATTACTTTGTTCAATTGATTTCATTTCAATGTATTAATTAATGTATGAATTGAATGACAGCTGTGTTGGGATATGTGGCCAATATTGTCACTAATGTCTCGGCCGCTCGTAAAGAATTTCAAGGTATTTAATAAATTAATTACATTTTACTCATTTACACATTACAAACATTTACAAATAATTTTCTATTAGTTTTATTTTACTTTAAAAGTCATGTGAATGTCAAGAAGTTTTACATCTTTTGTCTGTTGACTAATATTTTTAAAAATCAAAATCAGCCCTTTTTAACGGGATGTCAAACTTTTGTTTAAATAATGGGTTTGTCGCACATTTGAATGCTTTCTTAACAATAAATCATTTTGAAACACAAATACAAATATATTAATTTTTCTTTATTTTTATATTCTAAACATTTCACCACCCAAAATGTAAATAAATAAATTTTACTATATCTGATAGATCAAATTGAAATTAATTTCTCATTGTGCTTAATAATAATGGCAATAAATATTTTTACATTTTGTTCAATAAATAATTAATTCTTTTATGCTGTATTAAAATTTTATTAAATTCTTTAACGTAAACAGAATATTCTTTCATTACAAGAGTACTTACAATCAATTGATAATCTTATACAGTATAGTACTCTGCAATTCAATTTATTCAAAGTTTGCTCATTGCAATGCTTCAAGCAATTGCAATTTTCTAATTTAAGTTTTAATATTTACGATTAGTCTTACAGTACAGTATAACAATTTAGTTTTTACTTTTAAAATATTTTGAATTTTATACAGTTTTTTGTCAAAATTAAATTTATTTTAAGACAAAAGTCACAGTGAAGTCATTTTATTATATAAGAGGCAATTATAAGAATTCAATGAAGTAATCAAATGTTTAGTGTTTAGTAAAAGCTTTGCAAACAATTATGTCTTACAATCCATTGAATTGAAGAAATAATTATTTGATGCATGACTTGATTCACACCATTCTGATAGATCAAATTGAAATTAATTTCTCATTGTGCTTAATAATAATGGCAATAAATATTTTTACATTTTGTTCAATAAATAATTAATTCTTTTATGCTGTATTAAAATTTTATTAAATTCTTTAACACAAACAGAATATTCTTTCATTACAAGAGTACTTACAATCAATTGATAATCTTATACAGTATAGTACTCTGCAATTCAATTTATTCAAAGTTTGCAATGCTTCAAGCAATTTTCTAATTTAAGTTTTAATATTTACGATTAGTCTTACAGTACAGTATAACAATTTAGTTTTTACTTTTAAAATATTTTGAATTTTATACAGTTTTTTTTGTCAAAATTAAATTTATTTCAAGACAAAAGTCAGAGTGAAGTCATTTTATTATATAAGATGCAATTATAAGAATTCAATGAAGTAATCAAATGTTTAGTGTTTAGTAAAAGCTTTGCAAACAATTATGTCTTACAATCCATTGAATTGAAGAAATAATTATTTGATGCATGACTTGATTCACACCATTAAAGACACATTCACTATATATTATGTTTTATTACTTTTTCTAGTGAATTGATTTTTGATTATTTGTCAAATATATTTTAATTAAATTTCTTTGTTATCCGAATGAAACAGAAATATAAGTTTTTATTATTATATTTACAAATAATAATTCCCATTAGATTTAAAGATATATTCCGTGATATGTTAGACGAAAATAATGTGATTCTGTGTTCAAATAATAGCCAAATTGGATGCCGTCAAGACATATATGCGGATGCGTCGGGTGCCCGAACACATCCAAACCAAAGTCATTCGTTGGTTCGACTACTTATGGATGACTCAAAAGTCATCTGATGAGGAAAGATCTGTCGGTTGTCTCCCAGGTATCCAATCATTTATACTACAATACTACTTACTGTACTATACTTTACAGTACAATTTACAGTATTCATACGAACAACAGTCTCTAATACAATTTTCATTACAATCTCTCTCTCTCTCTCTATTTCTTTCTTTCTCTAAAATATTTTCTGTTTCTAATTTTGTAATCTTAAAATAATCAACAAAAATATACGATTAATTTGATAAATTCAAAATATACTAACTATAAAAATAAGGAAATAAAATAAGGATTGGATATAATAAGTTATATCAATAATAAAGATATACTAGTAGTCTATTAAAAATACATAATTTATATTACAGTATTAATAGTATAGTAATATAACAATATTGCTCGGCTGTACAATGAGAGAGATTGTGTGAATAAGTGACAAAACGGCGTATTATAGACAAGTTTGACTGTCTATAAGACAAATATACATAAAGGTCTACAGAACCGATCATATATTGCAGACAAACTGAAGGCTGAGATCGCAATTCACGTACATTTGGATACATTGAAGAGAGTGGAGATCTTCCAGAATACTGAGGCCGGCTTTCTATGCGAACTCGTTCTCAGGTTAAGACCCGTTCTGTTCAGTCCCGGAGATTATATCTGCAGAAAAGGAGAAGTGGGGAAAGAGATGTATATTGTGAACAGAGGGAGGTATTAATCCTTTAATACATTTAGTTCTGCTTTCGTCATAATCTGAGATTCATTTCTTTATGAAAGATTACAAGTGGTTACGGATAATGGAAAGACAGTCTTAGCAACACTTCGAGCGGGCAGTTATTTTGGGGAAATAAGTATTCTTAATATGGGAACGGCTGGCAATCGTCGCACAGCTTCTGTTAGAAGTGTTGGTTACAGTGATTTGTTTTGCCTCAATAAACAGGTATCAATTCTGTACATTCTGTACATCAACATATTCTGTATAATCTATACTGTACCTTCACATAATTTCTAACTCTACCTTGGTCATGGTCTATGCGCAGGACATGTGGGATGTGCTGAAGGACTACCCGGCAGCCAGAGTTAGGTTAGAAGCCATTGCTGTGAAACGGTTAGAAAAGTATCGCAAAGAACCACTTAAGAAGAGTGAGTCTAAAGTGATGTTTTCTATACTCAATAAATGCTAACCCATTCAATGTGTTGCTGTTGTGATGCCGGCGCTCAGTTGCAATGGGCAGGAGTCGGTCGACCCCGGGTTTGGTTGAATCAAAGGGTAAAGTGCCTGTCAGTGAAATGCAAATCACTCGCAAAGACCAGACATCGGCCTCAACTGCCACTCTTCTGACGGATGATGAGCTCCAGAGAGAAGATAATAATTATAAGAGCAAAGACGAGGCCGACAATGAGAGCACTGTCAGCGATGCCAGTAATCCCAGTAATCCCAGTAATAAACCAATTATGCACTCATCTCTTAAGACTAATAATAACCTCGGAATCAATGGTTGCCAATCAGGCGGTGGATTAATGGGCTCTTCTCCCATCCCTCCCACATCTCAGTCACAACTGCTATATTCGCCTCAAATATTGACTCCAAACCTGCAACTAATCAGTTATGACCGCAACTCCCCGCAGCCAACCCTATTCGCGGGCGCCATCCCTTACTTCCCTCACTCACCCGTCACCGGCTCAACCATGTCGGCGACCTATGGTCTGAGTCCTGCCGTCTCTTCCACACATCTGGCAATACCACACGCCATGGCTTTGCACACTCCCTCTCCCACAATGAGCACTGACAGCCACATCGTACAGGTGTCACAACCAGGTCAGGAACCACCACAGGATGCCGTACTTCTGGCAGAGATTAAGCGTTTGAGGGAAAGGCTCATGAGTTTGGAGACAGAGAACGCGACGATGACTATAAAACTGAGTCAACAACAGTGGGAAGTGGAGAATAGGTATGAATTGATGTCATATTCTTGTATTGTTTCATATATTGTCTGATCATTGGATGTAATGATTGTATTATTAATTGTTGTCAAGATTGGCTGAAATAGAGCTTCAAATATGTTCGGCTAATGCAAGTGGGAGTACATGTGGTGTAGCGCCGGGATCTCTAAGCAGTCGTTCGAGTACTAGTGGTGATGAAAATGAGAGGAATAAAGAATCTGTTATTTGAATGAATCATTCAAATGATATATTAATTAAAATTCAAAATCAATGTTATATAAGATATTGTGATTCCTTTACTGTTTAATGAATATATCGTTAAAACATTCAAACATTCCTTTTATAGCAATTATTATCAAATAATGTGTTAAATGAATGCATATTCTGTCACATGGAATGATATACTGTTAACAAATTATTTATTTATATCATTATTTGACCCAAAAATATATTGTATTCAAACAAGTCATACATTTTTGGCCATTCTTTAGATTTTTATTTTTATTTTTTATATCATTTATGCATTAATTTAATTGTAACTCAATTTTCATTTATTATATCTATAATCATAATTCATTTTTTAGTAATTATATAATGTTTTTAAGAGAAAAGCCAACAAAAGCTGACAAAAACATTTGGACTAAGCTTTCATATATTATATATCAGACTCTTTCACATACTCTATGAGTGCAATCGATTTTCAGCCAAAAAATGATTAAATATTTAGTCCTTTCTTTGTATTATTCATTACTTTTGAAATATTGTTTATTATTCATAGTTTGCAAGTATTTGTATTTATATACAGGTATTCATACATACATTATCTCTAATGTGATTCAAAACAAATGTTTCTAAAATTATATTTTATTTTTTACTGTTCATTAAAACTTATAAATAACACTCATTTGTATTCTTTACCATAAATTGTAACCAAAAAATGTGTTACGAATTTCAATATTGGATGCAAACAGAGATCACATTCTACTGTATATTTCATTACTTCATTCATTTAATTTAATAAAACTAAAAACCAGACCCTCTGTCACTCATTTCTGCAATACATTTGTACACAATTCCACTCAATTCTTGTATATTATATCCTTTGATATACAGAATTACACTGCAATTATGATATCATGGTCACTTGAATTATTCTATAACACAAACATTTATTTCTTATTCTTACTGTTAGTAATTATATTTTAAAGATTTTACCAACATATTCTTAACAGAATATATAAACTCCTCGCCAAAACTCATGGCACAAGACTTTATAAAATATAGATGTGTTAGAGTTGAGCTAGATCAATTAAAATTTATACAGAAACATGGTTTTTGGCACCAATATTTTAATATGCCAGATTTGTCCCAGATCCAAAAGGGATGGCAGGGAAAGGTATTTATCTATACGTCAAAAACTATAAGTAATATTAAAGTTCTGAATTTTGGAAATGAAGCGCGAGGTCATTTCTAAAAAAGTAATTTCTGGGTTTGTCGAAATTTTACTCTGTTGATTTTTAAAAATTCTCTAAATGTCAAAAATTGACATTTTTAGGCGTAGTTATCTCAGCAATGAGCCAATGTATCTGGGTTCTCTCAGCAGGGTTCGAAAGATCTTTCAAAATACTAAAAATCATTTTCTGGAACGAAAAGTGTATCAAGAACAACAAACCCTCTATTCTGAAAATCAATATTTCCTATGCAATTAATTTATCACTTAATTAATTAATCTTATTGTTTTACACCTTTACCTGTAAAAATAAAATTCATAGGAAATATTGATTTGCAGAATAGAGGGTTTGTTGTTCTTGATACACTTTTCGTGCCAGCAAATGATTTTTAGTATTTTGAAAGATCTTTCGAA